ACTCTCAGTCTCACTGTGACTTCTACTTCTACTAACACACTAAATCTTCACAGGTCGACTTCTTGTACTTTTCTGTACTCCTTAAGCTTATTCTCCTGGACCGCAAGCGGACTCGTGTTATATAACCGCGGAATGTACAACGTAGAAAACACTGTTCTAGTGTTGCGTAATGCAGGCCACATAGTAAACACATGAATCACGTGATAGCTAAGCACGGTTATTATGTGACGTCATTGCGCCTGCGCGGAAGTCTGTTTACCGAGACATTGCTTAGACGTGGGTTGCTCAACCCCATTATTCTGTTGTTGCGTGCGTGTCTCGCGGGGTGTTTATCAAGCCGTTGCCTGGCAATGCGTTGACATGTCACCATACGTAACTTGATAATTTAATACGAGCCCATACACACTAGGGTGTATACTAAAATTCTTTTAAATTTAATCTCAATTAATTTTTAACTAACTTCAATTTAATTTAATTGTTTACCAATATGGTTAAAAGCCGAAGAGTAAGCAAACGAGAGGTTCATTACTAAGCAATTATCAATGATCAGATATGAACAAAAATATGGATATATATTTGAACAAAAATTCAGCATTTAAGTATGCAGAGATACACGTGATGATGACCCAACATAGGTCGAAACATGCCGTGACTAAGATTAATTTAAATAATCTTTGTTATTATTTTTACTTTAATTGTTGCTTTGACAGAAACAAATATACTGTTTTGAAACGAAATCATGCTTTTTTTTTCATGAAATAATAGTCTCTATCACGTGACATTGCAATGGAAGTCAAGATCTGCATGCAAGGAATTTCATTGAATACACAGGGATTTTGGTACCGTAAGGTTACCTTCTCGAGGTAAGACGCAACCTCAAAAACGTTTTAGACGAAGTTTAACAGATAGGCCTAGAAATGCATAATCCAACAAGAAGTTCTGAGAAGTACTAATCACCTCTTTTCTTATAATGGTGCACGGGCCTCATAGAAAACGAAAAATTACGGGAGAAACACAGATATACAGACAGCAAGAAGAAGAAGAAGACAGCAAGGTGATCTCACAAGCCTCCTTGATACGGCACGGACCGCATGGAAAATGAAGAATTAAGTTAGGGGACATACATGCCGACAGTTGGGTGATATTTTAAGCTTCTAACAAGAATTAAGATGGGGGAACACACGAGTCGGGATAGCACAGTTGGTATAGAGACTGCCTACTGGCTGGACGGTAGAGGGGTCGGAGTTCGAGTCCCAGTAGTGTCACAGTTTTCTCTTCTCCATATCTCCAGACCGACTATGGGGTCAACCGAACCTCCTATCTAATGTGTATCGTGGGCTCTTTCCCTGGGGGTAAAGCGGCCTGAAGCTGACAACTCACTTCAAGCCAGTGCCGAGGTTAAGAAAATGTTGATCCATACATCCACTCCCGCATACTTATTCACGGCATAGTGCTTAATTAGTTAAACACATGGACAGCTTTACTTTCTAAGGGGAACACACAGATACACAGACAGAAAGGCTAACTCGTAAGACTCCTAAAAAGTGAGAGAGGACACACACACACACATATGGACACAAATAAACTGATACAATGACAAAGAGTTAGGTGATCCCATAAGCTTCCTTTATATTTCCTCAAAATAAGGGAAGTAGTCTAAAAATAGCCAACCTTCTCCGTGCTGTGTCCGTCCGGAAGTAACCGAAGCTTTACCTGAAATCAAACTTTGATTAATGCCCGAAGCACTTCTCAGAGACAGTTCTTACTAATGTGACATCTTTACTTGTCTCCTCGAGCATTCACGTTTCACACAAGACGAGTCATTGAACCCATCTGAAGAGAAGAGCGTCCTTATGAATGAGGAGCCTCTCCGTGTGAGGTCTTTGCTTTCAGACTCCTGGGAGGGTACCGAATTTCTTTTCAGTTTCAGTAGGATATTCATCGCCCCAGGAACAGAATTATACGTATAAGGAGGGTGGTGATGGGTGAACAAGTTACCCAGTAGTTAACCTGTAAGTGCTCCCTTCAGTTTGAGAGGCGCAGTTGGAGGCGAGATTTAGTGTCATGTCACAGCCAGCGTTTCAACTTCAGGGCGAAATGGAACTCCTCTGTACACGGTCCACTTTGTATTTGCAAAACTTACAGACACATAATTCTGCAGCAAAATTTGTTATCACATTTTCAAACTGCTTGGAGAGCGAAACATCTCCCCGTTGGTATGAATAAGATTTCTGAAGATCTTAAGACTTGTGAAGGCGCACTTTCGGTCACTTTGCTCAGTAGATATAACAGTGAATTTTATATTAGCAAAGAAAGCGACTTCATAGTGCAGGTACAAGGTTGGTTACTGCATAGACTGAGCAAGTCGCTTCAAGCAGTAATGCTTCTTATTTGTATCCTAGGGGTTATCTGTTCGAATCTCTGCCGGGACAACGATTATCCTGAAGTTTTCTTGGTGTTCCTCAGTACCTCAATGAATATTCGGGGATAGTAGGACTATCTCAAATTAGGTCACGACGGCTCACTTCCACATCTTATAATCCAATTAATTAGCGCTGTGAAGTCAGTGATAAAGAGGGCGCTTTATAAAGCCACAAGTAAATAAATAAATACAGCATAAGAGTTTTAGCTTCTAGGATATAACGCTGCGTATTCTGCTGAAAGTCAACTGACGTTTCGGAGGAACATATCGCTTCCATTTTCACGATGAAAAAATTATTCGAGCAAAAAAGAAAACAGCTTGAAACAGGTGACAATATGTTGTATGCTTCGACCCTTAAGAGGGCGGCGACATGCTCCTCCGAAACGTCGATTAACTTTCAACGGACTACAAGGCGTTATACACCAGTAGATACAAATCTTCTTAACCACTGTTGTGAGGACCTCAAATCTTACAGATATTGCGTAAGTTTATCAGGATATTGTTTTATCATCAATTTTAGCTCAACTGTAGCAGTGGTTCTCAACCAACTTTCCGCGACCTTGTTCCAAATGCATTGCAATCTTTTGAAGACCACAATCATCATCATCCGCAAGGGTTCAGATTCTTAGGCTGTTCCGTCCTCGAACATGAAACATCTCTGGGGATTATGAGTAGCTGTTTACTTGAGCACGTTATCAGCCGGTTATCTTTGAGGACGAGGGTTTTCATTCAGGTGCTTCTTTCCTCAGACACGTTGCCCGCTGTTGCTAACGAGTTCTGCCTATCCGCTACTTAAATCTGGCAAGGGTCCCATACCAAGTGCTACTCACGGGACCAGTGAGACATGGAGTTCTCATAAGGCAGGGTCACTACTCCGTGTTGTTGAGTAGTCTTTTGTGGAAGTATTGTAGTTAAGCATCCTGTTGCATTAATATAAGTTTTAACCACAGTAATACAGCCATCGGCTTCCCAAGACTATCTGGTTTCGATCCCATGTCAGATAACATGAGATTTGTGGTGACAAAGTGGCACTAGTGCAGGATCTCTCCGAGTGTTTCTGTTTCTCCTGTCAATTTCCATTCCATTAACTACTCCTTATTCATTAATTGTTCTGTCATTGACGATATAGTCCCGATATTGACAGTGTCTGAGGAATAACACGAAAGACCTCAGACAGAATATCCTGTGTCAGGACAACATTTGAAGCAAGTACCTCCCGTCATAGCTAAACAGTTAAATCTAGGACATCCACTTGGGTTTATTAGTGTGCAGCATGACACATAGCGCCCATTGCAGGTCGCATTTGCAGTTGAATTAAAGGGTTCTGTTCCCTGGTGACATATGAAAACTGCTAATCGGAGTTAAGCACTGTCACACTCAATGGATGTACAGTGTCCCTGCGGGTTTACTCGTTAACGGCATATTAGAAGGGCAAGCACACCCTCTTTCCCGCTATATGTTGTGAACATTACTCGATACTGACAACTACGCCGACCCCCTGGGAGATGTATAAGGGTTCACGCCTACAATCCAGTTATATCTTCCGACAAAAATGGTATATAGCAAGTAATGAGTTAAGATACGCACGGGATAAAATGAAGCCCATGTAAATATTCAAGATAAACTGGAACATACGCCACAGTACTGATTGCCTAATTTCGTGAATGCTGATATACAGCCATAATTCAACTGATGACTTGCCGAGTTGAGGATTTCTGGACTTATGATCACATTAAATTAACACCCATTAAATATCCTGTACGTAAGCATCCTGTTGCATTACTATATCTAAAATTGTTTCTGAACTGCACAGTCCGTCAACAATGCAACAGATTGTTCCTTCTTTCTTACACTTTCACTTTCGACACAACATGTTTCGGCCCTAAATGGCCATCTTCAGGAGCCTTACTATGTCAAAACTGTTACATTGCACTAACGTTATCCATTTATCATATATGCAACTGCAAGCTTCATGATTATGACGTTCTGAATCATGAAGCTTGCAGTTGAGTACGTGATGAACTCTCGTTATGAATCTGAATGCTTGAAGTCAAAGTCAGAGTTACTTTACGACTGGCGGTTTACCGCCACTCAGTTCGTCTTGACGCCAGGCCCCCTGAGGTCCACGACCAGAGATTTCTTTCCAACGGTTCCTTATATAGGATAGCTCGTATCCATGGAAATAACTCCAAGAGTGTTCGTTGCCGTGAAACGCCTTTTAAAAATCCGTTGTCTCGAAAACAAGCTTACTGAAAGGATCGCTACTAAGTAACCGAAATTTTATTGTTGACTGCGTTAAAAATGCACTTACCTAACAACGGATTTTCTGACTCCATAGCTTAATGCTTTGAGCAAATCCGTCACATTATTAAAACAAATTGAAATGTCTTTCCGAATATTTTATTATTGTGCCCTAAACACAAGAAAATGTTTCCTCAATAAAATACTCTTAAAGGACTTGAACGTAAGTTTGCAAGCTAATATTCTGTTCCTGTTCTTCCTAGACGCAATACTTCGCCACCCGTGTCAGTACCACAACAGGCATTAAACTAATAATTCGTTTATTGTTGGTTTGCAGGTCCGAGATCTCGTCGGCTAAAGAAAAAAGATAAAAAGCCGGAAGAGAAGAGACCCCGGACAGCGTTCAGCGGCGAACAGTTGGCACGCCTGAAACACGAGTTCGCCGAGAATCGTTACCTGACGGAGCGACGCCGAACGGAACTGGCACGAGAACTGGGACTGAACGAGGCGCAGATCAAGATCTGGTTCCAGAACAAACGCGCCAAGATCAAGAAGGCGAGCGGCCAGAAGAACCCCTTGGCTCTGCAGCTGATGGCGCAGGGTCTGTACAACCACAGTACTGTGCCGGTGGACGAAGAAGAAGAAGAGGCCAGTGCACTGCTATTGGCCAACAATGCACGGAAAGATTGAACGCATATTTCGGTTGAAAAATACAGTCACTGTTAACATAATTTCTTATCTAACAGCGTAAAGTTCGTGCTAGAAAATGTTAAGAAAGTCGAAGAGACATCCAGTTGTAAAACATAAATTTATGGTTCGCATAACATTAAATAATATAATTGTTTGATAAAATTAGACAGCCACTTTAAATGAAATAACGGAAATATTAATATTTTTCCCCGAGGAGAAGGAACGTTGAAGCTACAGTGCTATGTACTTTAAATAAATGTATTTACATAAATATAAATACATCTTAGGAGCCCATAGATCAAGCCAGAGTCACATGCAACTCCGGAGCTTTATCATGCTTTGAGGTCGAGTGCAATGAACAAAAAATATATTCTGCAAATTTAGAATTAAGCAGCCTAAAATAAAAGTTTCTATTAAGGCTATACAATTTTTCAGGCCTCAAAATCTTAAATTCTACTCATTTTAAAATTGAAGTTACAATTTAAATATGCAATAATAATCAGATCATTACATATTCTTGTAAGTGCGAATTTTTAATTAGAGGTCAGTCCATTTGCGATTTGTGGTGCAAAAAAATTGCTCCGAAGCGGAATTTCTCCTAGTACTTCGGTTTACCATGCCAATTCCCCTTTTCTCTCATTTCTCATCCGATGTTGGTACGAGGTGTCATTTGCGGAATGAGTACCAATGTACGCACACTCAGCGCACACCAATAATGAAAGAGGTAATTAGTTAACTAAATAATTCAATTCACAAAGTGTACCTGGGTCTTTGATGCAATACTGAATTAAATTCCAAGGTGTAAAGTTATGGATGCTGGAGATAAGGATGCAGAAACTGACTACGTTATCATGAAAGTTGACTAAATCTTGTACACACAGAACTGAACTAACCGAAATATTTTCTTAAGAGGGATATAATTTGCCATATGGATGACGGTATACATAGGTAACAACAGTTAGTTATTTGTATTTTGTGTATATTTTTTGCTTCACTGTATGAGAAATTACAAGGCCAAATTCACAGTGGAAAATAGTTAAAGTCTGGGTATTTTCGTGTAACCTTTCACGGAGACTAAAAGTTACAAAATCTGAGGCGAATAAACATGTGAACTGTTTAAAAACTGAATTTCCTCTAAATATTATATATATAAATTCAGTTCGTACCCCACAGGAACCACTACGTCCTAGCTACGAAGACCAACAGGTTAATGCTGTTTAGGGACACAGTCGCTGTTGATTGTGAGGCCTATATGAAACATACAAGTATACTGCTGACAGAATTCAAAGTTTAATATGTTATAGCACGTGGTACATATTAATTCGCTTGGTGGGCGGTGGAGTCCAACTGGGTTAACTCGGCACGGTGGCCACTGATTGGCCTATTGTAGCCTGCCCCGAGTGATTGTAATGATGGAGGTGGTACATATGGTATCCACTAGGCTCTAAAGGGTTAATCCAGAGTAGAAGCCCAATATTCCAGAGACCGTCTTTAAGTCCGTAATAGGAGAATGATATAAGCTACACTCCCCTAATGAAATACGTGTACTTCTGCTCCAGGTTGATTACGTTCATCATTCACGAAGCTTCTCTGTTTTAATATTTCACTTCAGAAGGAAAATTGTTGTAGGTGGACCCCATTGGTTTAGACGTAAACATGTACACTGCTCAGCTTGTTTATTCTCCTCAAACCGTGCTGATATATCATCTCTAACAACACAGTTGCATGAATATAAGGTCCAACTGCGCAGTGGATTTAATATCGAAATTACAGGGTCTGTAACACCTTTCACTGTAGGATTATGATGAAGTCCGTAATAGAAGAATTCTTTGAATGCGAGTGCTTAAATGAGTTTGCTTATGGCTACCGGCTAGCTGCCAAGTGGCTCGTCTGGTAGGCATTCCCACGAACTTGTTGCAACTGACGCGGAGAGGATGTTGTGCTACATTTATATACATATAGAGGGATATTTATATCTGATGGTAATTTATATCAAATAGAACGCAGCCAGAGCCTCAGACCTTGATATTGATGATAAAAAAAATATTAGTACCAGATTTTACTGAAATTCATCTTTCTAGCAGACTTAAATATTTCGAATGGCGTGTGTTCTTAGGGAGTGAGAAATCACATTCGTTTTCCGTGTTTTATAGGAGCTATGACGAAGTGAAGCTTGACAGGTCATAATGCTTGTTCTCGAGAAAATGTGACGCTAGGGGAAGAGCCCTAGTACAAGTATAAAGGCCTCCTGATGTTTGGAAACTAAATTGAACACTCAGGGGGAGATGACCCTTAATATGAATATCTTATAAGGACTGGAAAGTCACAGATGTTAGGACACATTTCATTAGTAATTTATATTCTCACAGTCCATGATATCTTTGAGTTTTCCATGTACAGGATATATAGACCATAATTGCATGAGGAAGGAACAAGACGGAGCCAGACAAAGTATGTTACTGTTTCCAAATAACAGAGTCAAATGGAGCTTCTTAATAATTATATAAAAAATTCAATGCGTGTGTATAAGTAATAAATATGTTTGAAAACTATGGACTATTTGCAACATATTGATACATTGAAAAGGTTCAGTTAACTTATCCAGGAGGAAAGTTCCTTCCAAACAACTCCCGGGACAGTATCTCAAATCCTTTCAGATTCAATATTCATCCATCATCCTGGCATTTGACGCAGTATAGTCAATCAACTGACATTGCAGGGAAAATGAACCACGAAAGAGAATGTACGTCACGTCACATTAATTAAAACTGTCGTAGAAGAACTTGATTATGCCCAGTCCAACTGAACTACACATGACCGTTCTTTCGTCGTGTTGAACTTAAACACTGATAAGTCGTGAGATAAAGCATGTTATGTAATGTTATCGTTTTCGTTTTCTGAGAACTGCAACAGCGCAGCAAATATTAACATAGAATATCGTCATCTGTTATAATGTGACACGAATCAACTGATCAAGTTTACTCAGTCAGTAACACATCTGCGTCTATTCGAGACGTATCCGGTTCGATCCTCGGCCGGAACACCAAATATCCAGGATACGGTTTGCTTCCTCTTATTCAGTTCCTTCAGACAAATTCTATGTACAATACCGCAAAATAGGCCACGACCACTTCTTTCTGCATACTGTTCAATTTAGTTCCTTCAGTAGTCTCCCCACAATTCGTTGTTATATATTCGTGTTCTGAGCGGTCTTTAAATGACAAAAATAAAGACATAGACCAGAAGGAAGATACCGCAGCAGGCACCCTCCTATAGTGCAGCCGTGATTTAATTGCCCCAGGGCTTGTTGTATTCATGTGACGTAGGAAACGTTAAACTCGGAAGCAGAAATATAAAACTGGTGTCAGACAATCATTTCAACTCGGAAATTGGAAGGGCACAGAAGCAACTGTGCAGAGTTCGGAGTGCATACCAATATGTGTAGAGAACAGGGCTCGCACACAACACGCCTCATCAGCATGTAAGTAACGGCCACTGCTGTATCGACACGGAAGCCGCTGACGTCACTACAGGTAAATAATAAATAGGTGGACAGAGCTACGGCTAGGAACATACACAGCGACATCGGTCGTACGACTTCCGTACTGTTCATGTCGCATCAAGTAGTAGAATATAAAGTGTTGCCTTAGCTTTCATACGTGACGACATGCGACATCTACCGTACGACAGTCGGAGAGCAAAGAAATGTATTTGGACGGTCTAGTGTGAAAAGGAGGTCCTACGACAAAAAAATCGTACAACATTTTTCCGTACTACCGATGTCGCTGTGTGTGTTCCTAGCCTAAGAGTTAATAGCAGGGATCATTAAATCTGTTCTGGACCGTACTTTTTGCATGCAGTTACTGCTTCATATACTGCCCATAGAGTTTCGGGGGTTCAATTTTTTCCCTAAACTACAAACAAATATTTACACATATTTTCTTAATTCGTCTCTTGAAAAGACATACTTTAAAAATAGGTAAGAAATTGAGTCGTGATCATTTATAAGTCCATGATACGTCAAATAAATTATTGCGTTTAATTAAATTAAGGTTGTATTTGATCATTTGTTCTTAAAAAATCACCAGACTAGTAACTCATATTTGTGAAGATATTACAACGGATTTGATCAACGCGTTGCCAGGCAACGGCTCTGTAAACATGATCCAACACGCAACAATATATGAGACCGTGTTTTCTGTGTCATCTGCGCCACGCCCAGTCCTGTTAACAAACAAATAAACACGCAGTCTGACACGTGGCATGTGTTTTCTGTGTGGTCTGCTCCATGCAACAATAGAGGAGCTGTGTTTTCTGTGCGAGGTTGTTGCCTCCAAAGTTTTCAAGGGAACAGCAGTGTAGTTGAAGAAGAATTAGAAGTCTGTCTGTGAAGACCTAACGTGTTAGAAGATTGTATTTATGTATAATATTTGGAGTGTGTGTTTCAGTGAGACTGTTATACTTCTTATGTTTTAATTTCATTACTAAGAGAGGACAAGTGTGTAACGGTGAGTTATAAAGTGTAGATTGAGCGAAAGCGCTGTAATTACGCATAATTACTGGTGGTGCGTATAAGGAGTAAATAAACCCGTTTATTTAATCCCGAACCCCCGTCTTTAGTCACTGATAGACGTGACCATATTATAACTTCAAATTGACTGTATGACATATGGACACAGTACCATTTCAGGGATGCCGGGCACTACTAAGAACATAGTTACGAAGAATTTAGTGCCTTGAAATAATACAAGAGCATTAGCTACATTGATTACCAGAATGACAACACCAAGAAAATTTCGTGATGTGATATACATTTGCATGTTGTACTATAATCCTTCTAGAATATTCTTGTTAGTACGTCATCTCTTGAATAAACAACGCTACGGAAGGAAAAGGCGGTGTGTTCAATGATATATCTCCGCTATGGCGATTGTGGCTGATGATGTACACGTATGTACACGTACGTACACGTAGACAAAAGAACCTAGTACTTGTCTAATAATGACGTAGATAGCTACGTAACTAACCAATGACAGCGTGTCCACAAAAACTCACTTTATCTCCTAGAATGTGACGACGTTTCGTTTGGTATAAATTTACCAACGATTCGGAGGAACGTCCTGCTGGCATTTTCAGGTTAGAAGATTAAACCGAGGGAGCACCCAGCACACTGAAGCTGGAGGTAGCAATCTTCTCCGAAACATAAATAAAATTTACCAAATTACAGGACACCATATCCCAGAACATAATAATCTTCAAGGGAGTTCTCTTTAGTCCAAATGCTTCAGTTTAGTGGTTGTGTATCAACGAGTGGTAAGAGTCTGCTATATACCAGTTTGCCTAGATACGCAGCATAGTAACATCTACCATTAAAACAAGCGTGGGGATAATTCAAACATGATCTTCAGAACGTACAGTGACGTATATTTGAGCACAGCTATTTCCACTAATCAGCAAATTAAGAACGTGGCTTTGGTCACTGGCGAAGGAAGACGTTGCACAGTGGATGTACATGACGTACTGTGCTGAAGCTTCATGCGCGGTATCGTTGACATGCGTAGGAGAGACTTATTGACACATATGCTATACGGTTAAGTTAATTATTTACAGATCCTTACTGTAGCAACTTGTTTCGTGTTGTAAGATTTGAGGCTTTCACGGCGGTGACTATGAAGAAAGCAGTCTTCTGGGATTTGGCACCGTGTATATGTGGTGTTAACCGACGTTTCAGAGGAACGTATCGTCTCCATCTTCAGGGTAGAAGAAAAAATATAAGAAATCTGCAAGCGAAGAGAACGTGAGAACCGGTAAAAGCAGACTGTCTGCACGTTCCTCCGAAACGTCGGTTAACACCACATATACACGGTGCCAAATCCCAGAAGACTGCTTTCTTCATAGTCACCGCCGTGAAAGCCTCAAATCTTACA